TCTGGTCTGGACAATTTCAATCCCTTCTGAAGCAGAACAGAGGTGTCTATCTCCTTCAGTTAAAGTGCTGTGAGACTGAATGAATCCTGTGATGACCTATGACTATTCATGGTAAAGGATGAGGTCACTAGGAAATATTTTGATTTCCTATTATTGATACAGGAACTTATTGCACAAAACCTAAAGTTCATCCAAAGAGGTTCAAATGAACATTAGTATTTTTTGTCCACTCCCGCATTTAGAATCCAGGTTCAAATCACTTAACTAGCACTGACTAGTAATCTAACACATCCAGGGTCATAGTGTAGCTCTGAAGCTTAAACTCTGTTGTTTTCTTAGTAAAATTATGATGGGGCAGACAATAAAAGAAAAAAAAAAGAAGAAGAAAACGCTCCACAAACAGGTCCTCCTCCAAAGTCTGGCAAGTATATCCCATGAGGAAAACATATTAAACTTGAATTAAAAACTTGTTCATCTCTCAAGTACAATTACCTCTAAAGGCCTCTTTTTCAACAAGGGTGTGGGAAGTGGTTGGGTTTGTAGCACATAAGCCAAAGCCATGAACTGAACATTCTGCCACCTCAAGAGAAGGGAATTAAAACAAGCATACTTCATGGACAACTTTTTAATTATATTTACTTTTTAATCTTGTAGGGCTAATATTGAAATATTAGTAAGCACCCATGTGATAACACATTTAACTTTCTCATTATTTTCCAGTAAGCAATAATTGCAGGAGCTCTGGTTAAAAGGAAACTTAGTAATTACACTGATTACTTGGTGGATTTGAAGAGACTCTGGAGCTGCAGCACACTCTAATATTGTGACAGGAGCTTTTCAATCTTACAGTTATGGTCATTATTCACAAAGGGAAACAATGGATTCCCAAACCGTTGACAAAGAAAAGAAGTTTGACATAAAATAAACATAAAATAAAAATTATTTTAATTCATTGGGATATATTACAAAGAAAAATAACCAAAATCTACAGCCCTACAAAGCAACAAATTTTAAAAAATGGGTACAAGCTGAATAAAAGGAAGAGTAATGACTTGGTTAAACCTCAGAGGGAAGCAATGCCAAAGTCAGGCACCTCAAACAAAGAATGGGTAGATGGACCTGACACATGGGTGCTTTCTTTAGAGGAAGCCTCTGTTTGGAGTGCAAGTCATTCCAGCTAATGGGTAAGTCTTGTCCATTGACAATCACATTAGCCCTTTTTGCTATTTTAGTCAAATAAGGCTAATCATTTAGCGTGCCTAATTTATATAGCCATGAGGTTGGGTTATCAGCACAGATGTACTGAAGCATAAAAGACTTGGGAACACTGACCTATCTGTCAAATTTGATCAAGCCCAGTGAAATTCAATTTGTTAATCTTGCTTCACAATCCTACCCTCATGCACTCTAAACACTAAAACATTTTGTATTGCACTGAGGAGCACAGTCTACAGCGAGACTTAGTTGGACTAATCAGACTCATGTATGAGTGATGTTAACAGTTGGAGCAAGGGATGTGACTTTTAGAATTAGAAGGCTAAAAGTAGGACTGAAAATCTGTAAATATTGGTAATATATATTTGCATGCCCAGTTCTTACCTTAGAGTGCAAGACAACAATGTAATACTTTAATAGTAACTGCAGAAAAGAAAAGAAATCAGGAATGTTTTCTCATTAAATGGAGAGGATGCTGGTTTTGAGTGTGTATCTATACATACATACTCAAGCTTCAAAAATTAACCAGGGCCAGATATTCAGCTCTGGACTTCTCACTTCTCTAAAACAGGGATTAATACTAATTTTGTGCCTTAAAGCCAAGGTTTCTGAGGTCAAGAGAAGAGCATAGCTCTCCTAGTACCCACTCAGGCCTCATTCCAAAGGACATATCTTTTTCATCACCTACCTAAGTTTACCTCGGTCATGAAGTTTAGCCTTGGCCTTTGAATCCAGTACTACCCAGAGATGTCTATGTTTCAGTGAACTGAAATAGCACAAGCTCTTAGCAGTTGATTTTTTGCTGTTTCCAGTCAATTCTAAGAGTAGCTACATTTGTACAGATTATTCTTCCAATATTTGCAAACTACGGTATATGTAAATCTGCAGTTAGAAGAATCTCAGTCCTGGTTTGTTTCATGACACTCATCCAGTTATCCTTCTGAAGGAGTTTTCTACCTTATTTGTTCTCTCAGCATACAGGACAAGAGAACATTCCTGTTTTCCAGTCCCTGCCCAAATTGCAGACAGAAGCTTATTGGATTGAATTAGAGAGAATCAAACTTGAATAATCACTATGGTCCTCAATTTGAGACAAATTGGGATAATAACTGTATCCAAGTATAGACTCCAGCAGATACATTTGGTCCTTAAATCATACCAGAATATTCAAGAAATAGTTCTGGAACACAAAGAACATCAGCTAGAGGAGAATGACCACAACAGACTTAACTCAACCTGTCTTAAAACGTCTTATCTATTTCTAGTTATGAAAAGTAATAAATAAATGAATAAGGTAAAACAACCTTCCCAACTAACTGAGCTTTTACTAGGTAAAGGACTAAAACAACATGATTCTTTATTGGTACAGGTAGACACAATTCTGAATCATATGGGAAGTATTCAATTAACATTGATGAGACTTGACAGATGCACTGTCTGGGAAATATCTTGGTTCTTCTCCCATTAGATTTATTTATATAAGCCCATTTTCAATGTTACACTGATTATCAGTGAACATTGGACTAAAAAAGTAGGTAATGTAAAGCCACAAAGTCAACTCTCTTGAAGAGGTTGCCAGTCTGGTCATGACCTGCCCATGCACTTTGGAAACAAACTCCACATACCACTGGCATGCCTTTTTGTTTTAGAGCTTGGTCACCAACACCACTACAGAACAACTGTGAACAGGACTTGCATGCAGCTGGTTCACACAGAATAGTTCTTCCAGCATTTGCTTTGCTTCTCTGTATCACAACAACTCAGTGAGGGAGTTAAAAGTGATGTTGTTTGGAAGCCTGGAACAATTTAGTTTTATTTATCATAATTAAACCCTAAAATGTAATGGCACAAACACTCTGAAAAAGGTGTGTGGAAAAGGAAAAGAATATTAGAAACAAACAAACAACATAAAATCTGTCTGCTGACCTCAATTATTTTCCTAGCGTGAAACCCAGAAAAAAAAAAGTGTATTTCTTAGGCAGTCATATATTGCCATTTGATCAGTTATGCCACATATTATAAGGCTGTCTTTCCATAGCATGGAAACAACACCCAACACTAAACACCTATTGTCTTACTCACAACTCTGACAGTTCCTGGAAAAAAATAAAGTGTCTAATTTGAAAATCGATTTAAATGTAACAACTCTTTTTTCTTTCTTGAGTTTTCTGAAAAATGGAATCAATCAGTGCATCCATGATATCACCAGTGTGTGCTGAGCTGGGTATAAATCATCACAGAAGAGAGACACAGAGTTCCACGTGTATGCAGGTGATTTGTAGACACAGGTTCCATATCCTCATCAAACAGACATGGCCTTCTGTGCTACGTTGGTTACTTTACAGCACTAGCCAGAATCATAATCCAATGTTTGCAGTGGCTAAAAAAACATTTTAGTTCCCTAGTTTATGAGTTATGGTTTGGGACTTGTTTTACTTGTTCTCTCCTTAGACATTTAAGGGGAGTTCAATGCTTCCCTGTTTATATGTTTTGTGAGGAGTGAAAAAATAAAATCCCAATTATACTCTGTTGGTTAAAGCCTTGTTTGAATAAGGTTTTGCATTCACAAACAGAAGGGAGAAGGAAATATATATCTAATTTTTTTCCTATTTGTCTAGGGCTTGTTCCATTGGTGTGAAAAGTTATTTGTGTAGTTACATCTATCACATTTACAATTAGCAGTCTGTTAAAGCTTACACATTTCGAATGAAGCGAAGACTCATATGTGGATGAGGAAAAAAACCAAAACCCTGGAGATTCTTTAAACTAAAAATCCTGGATAACGACTTCCAGCCTAATCACAGCTAGCCAGGTGGTGAGGTTTGAAGCTCCACATTAGTCTCTGGATAGAAAGCTTCAGTAGAAGAGCAGGAAGAAGATGAGGAAGAAGCGAAACTGCAGCAACAAGAGTCTGATGTCATCATCATCATCATTAGGGAAGAAGGCACAGCATGGGTGTCACTATTTAGATTTCTAAAGCTTTGCTGAATTCTTTCCCATTGTGCACAGGTGAGAACATGGCCCTACCCAGACACTCCTTTTAGGAGCTGACACTGAACGTGTGTGAGCACAAACCCCAAGGCTACCGAGGCCTAACCACAGAAATTAACTTCTCTTCTTGAATGCTGTAATGTTGAGAGAACATCTTTTAATTGCCTTACCATGAGAGCACCAAAAGACAGCAAATCCTGTCTTGCATCATGTGCCTTTCTAGTGGACAGCTGTGTAAAATACAGTTCTCAGCTCCACTTCTGGATATAAATGTAGACAAAAAGATACACATTCTACCTCATTAGGCTGTGAAGATAATTGTTAGGCAAACTATTTTGAATATATACATCATAAAGAAAATGATGTATATTTTTATATATACACACACATTTTTATATACCTGTGTGGGCTTGTGTGTGTAAAATACAGATATATACTACCCAGCTAACCAGAAGACTCGGTGAAAACTGTTTTTAAAGACACACTGAAATAAAAAACTAACATATGCAATATGGAATGTTACCACATGGCTGAACATGTGTTTAAGTTATCATATAGCATTAAAGACAAATAAATATCTCTTACTTCAATATTCACATGTCTGAGGGGGAATTGCACACTTTCTTCCTTTAATTTACTTTCACTTTTCTTCATTTAACTATTGAACCAGAGTGTCAATAGTGAAATCTGTGTGTCAGAGCACTTGATAAATACAGAATAATTATTAAAAAGTAAAAAAAGAGAAACATATTTAATCTCAAAATAATATGTTGTAAAATAAAGCATTATTATACCTGCAATGATGTCATCCATCTGCTCCAAAGCTGCCTCCAGCATATGACTCGCGTCAGAAGCCATCATCTGGAATTTCTTCAGATCTCTACTCTTTCTACTGAAAAGACAGATGAAACCACGTGTATTACACTAAATAATCTGACAGAAAAATATGTCACTGTTACATTACAAATCAAGCCACAGAAACACAAGTCCATGCTAACAAAAATACAGCCCAGTAAGAAGAAAACTAACAAAAAACCTGTTCCTATTCTTGATAGATGACTTGGGATTTCTGAGGTTTTAATTCATCATTGATTCATTTTTTAAAGAGACTTTACTAAAACAAGGAAAACAAAACCAAACAACCTCAAATACTGGAAGCTTGAGATGCCCCTACTCCTCATCCTTAACAATGGTTTCCTAGATTCAAATTCAGTGCATCTCAACCTTTTGCTCTGTGGGAAAAAAAGTGGATTGACTAGGGTTCAATAAAGGAATGGAGACATGGGGAAAAACATACCTAACTATAAACAAAACTCTCCTTTTTGATTGCTGCCTTAAGAGTAAAGACAATTCTGAAAGTTTTTACTCCTCCTTTCTATATCCCTATTCAATCTTTCCACCACTTCTTTCATGACACTGAAAATACAACTCTTTCTGTTCAAATAACAAAAATGCCCCAGGTATGAATTGTCTGAAGTTACTGCTGCCTCTTTAAAACAGGATTAAATACATTCATGTTACTGTCTGACATTAAGGATAACAAACAAAATCTTCCAAAATGAGTCTCTAGTTTCGAGTTGGTGTTGCTGGACTCTTAGACAAGTAGCAGTCACTGTTGTCAACATGTGACATTTCAAAGGGGAAAATAATTTATGCAGCCCATTTCACTGCCAGTGAGAAAATTCCCTCTGAAATAAGGCCCTTTTGCACATCACTTCATCCTTGAAGCATGAGACCAGTGCCCACACAGTGAGGAACATACTTATGCATGACTTTCCCAGTGCTCTAACACACAACTCAAAATACTGACAAAGCCTACAAAGGGTCATAGTATTTTCATTTCTCTTCCATGAAGGGTGCAATTCAGTCTTTTGACATTCAGTCTTCTGACACAGCAAGTTTTAAGATCTGTATTTAAAAACTGTTCCATTTTGACAGCTTTCTAAGCCTCACAAAAGACACCTGTCTGACAATGGGTAGAGATGTCCTTCAAATGACTCAGGCTGTAGGTAAGTGCATAGGCAATGGCCCTATGTTTGTGTGGCCTATTTGTCCAATGCTACTGAAATGCCATTGATCTGTATTTATCGTGTGATTACTTATGCTAAGAAATCAAGTATTTTGAATTTAAATAAATATTACAATAATCTTTAATGGCAATTCACATAGATTTGCACTGTGTTCATCCAGTGACAGTTCAGGCACTGGCCACCAAGGCCAATTGCATGACTGGTAGCTAAACCACTCACATTTATTCTCTCAGCTGCAGCCTGACTAAACACTGGAATGTAGAATCAGCACTCAGGATAGAGTTAGCTTTAAAATAAAATCTTAATAATTTTTTCTTTCAGTGGGACTGTCCAGGGGAAAAAAAAAAAATCTCTAAAAGTACACTTATGGCTGAGTCCAAATTACTGCATCACAACTGCTGTTCAGTCTCAGTAATAAGGCCTATTCAATGAAATTTGTACTATCAAGTCAAAATTATTTTCTTCTCTGGCAGACTAAGAATCCTGAGACACAGACTTTTCTCCATAGTGCTGGTGAATTATACACAAAGAAAGCTAATTTATTAGTAACCTCTGTATTATCAGTGCCCTATGTCCATGCCAGTCAATGTATATAACCCCACTATCTAGAGAGACAGATGCAGGAATGAGTCAGAAACTACAGTGTTCTAATTTGAACTCTGCCATTTATAGCTTGTCATAATGGGTAAGCCATTATCTAACTTCAGATCACATTGATCTGAAGAGCAATATGAGAATGTGTTATCTTTAGTGTCACCCAAGGCAAAGATTAATGTAAATGAATGGTTGTTTTTGGACTCTTCCTTTTTTGTCAAAATAATGTTTTAAGTATGAACAATGCTAAATGTAACTGAACTTACCAAAATACATGTCACACAAATATTTCATTTAATGGTACCGGAAATAACAAAAATTGTGCTCAGAATAATCTGGAAAGTCAGCTGATATAAACTTAAAATTTCAGAACCCTTGCACACATGAACTTTACAGACACTTCCTCTGATTCTGTTTCTCCAGTCAGTTGGTTCAGGGAGATTTCCATCTTCTGCTGCCACATTTACATGCCACTGAAGACTTGAGAGAGCCTCGATTCTCCACTGCAGAGAGCCTCCTTGCTTGCAGTACTTCCTCTAGTTCAAAGCAGCCATAACATCAGTAATAATCACCTTAGTGAAAGGAAATCCACCCACATGAGCAGCTGCCAGAGAGGCACCAAGGATACCCTGTGCCTTTGGCGGATGTGGCCACCGGCCACTCCCCCAGAAATGCATGGCCACCAGCTGTGCTGGTAAATCAGGACAGCAGACTGGCTCAAAATCAGGAGGAAAAAGAGTGAAAAATACTAAAAATAGCATAGAGTTTCTATTTCTAGATTGCAGTCCATGCCCTTCTTTGTGCTGTGGGCTACTTCTCCACGGGCTTAAAGCAGCTAAAGCATGGCTGTTGTTACAACAAGAAATGCAGAACTACCATTTCTCTGAACATCTAATATTTTTATATCTACTATCTGACCACCTGTAGTGACAAAGGTACAGAAAATGCTGATACACTCCATCACAAACCTGAAAATTTACTTATAGAAAAACCTTCCATCAAGACCTTGGCAAAATCCAGGAAGTTTTGCTGAAAAACACCACCAAAAGTAAGTCTTCTATCTCCTCCCAGCCTCCACACTCAGCCTGTTTTCTCACCTGCACCCACAGTGTATTTGCTGCTTAACTGCACTAAGCTAAAGTAAAACCTGCTTACCAAACAACGATTTATTAATAAAAGCAATGTTCTTTGCTCCATAGCGATAATGTAATATTACTTGCTTGACATCTTTTTCTAGACAGACCTGTTGCTTGTGCTTCAGGCAAGTCTTACTTTCCCAGACACTCCCTTCTTACAGCTGGACTGTTCTGAGCAATATTGTGAAAACAGCTCATTAGATCTCCCGTGTTTTCAGTTACCATTTCTCATCTAGTTCTATACAAATACCTGCAATTGTGGATTCTTTTTCTAACACTATTAAATAATAAGACACCTGTATCAATCCCTCAAACAGGATCCATCTATTTGCTGGTATTTTAATCACAGTTCCTTTTACAGTTTTCCTGAATGACATCAACAGATGCAGAACACGTAGACTTACTTAACTATGTAAAAATATACATATATTTGGGAAAAAAAAGGTTTTTTCAGCTTTGATAAGGACTGAACAAAAACTATCCCTAATAATATAGTACAAGCTTTAATATTAGCAAATTCTAACCTTCAGGACTTATTAGATTAATTTATATGCCAGCAAAATACAAGAACCAATCTACTCACCTTTTGAGGTCCCTAAGAAGAAAAGAATTTACTTTTTTGCCTGATCAGTAAAAATTCCTTGCTATTAATAGCCAAAGTTTTACTATTAAGCAGACATAAGTCTAAATTATTACCGACCCTTCTAAGCCACACGCTCATACTAATTTAGAGCCCAGCCCACAGAGATATTGCAACCCTGTTTGTTATAATTACCAAAGTAATGAGATCTTCCAGGAAGTGCAGACAGAGCAAACTGGTCTGAATCTCTTAAATTTATTTTGCTAAGCTAGTTTTACCCTATAAGTCCCAGTCTGAGATTTGCATTTCAAATAAAATGAAAAAGCTCTGGCAGAACTATTGTGCTTAGAGTCAATATCCCTTGCAAATTTCTTAACCTACATTCTGCATGTAAAACTACAGGTTACTGCGTCCAAAAAGAACATAATATTTAACAGACGTATTCACTATGAACAAGATGTTCTTCCGAATTATGAAAAGCTTTAATTAAATTTGAATCTTTCATGGCTGGCTTGAACCAGCATTCTTACCAGCAGAGGTAAGAATGTTGACATTTAGGCAACTCAGATGTTTTCCCAAGGTTGCTCCTAAAAAAATGAGGTTGCCAATGCTATCAGTTATGGAGAAGGGTGTGGTTTTTGACAAGAACTCCAGAAATCCAGATCTTTGGATCTTGTCTGTGGCCTACAAATTCCTCCGACGTTTAGCAGAAACAGCTAATAATTAACTACCACCACCGTTTTTTTCCCTGGGATGAATAAATACATGTTTGTAAACTGTTTAAATACTCAAATTCAAGTATTACACTGCTTTGTACTTAATGGCATAATGAAATAACGAGTGCCTTGGGTAAGCTTCAGAAGTCCCCCATGCTCTTCTTCAGCTGCAAGACGACTCCTGCCCTGGAAGGAAGAAATGTGCACAATTTCCACCCTCGCTGTTTCCCACCTTGCTTCTCCCCCAGCCACATGCTCTGTTGTATCCAGACACCTCACAGGAGCACAACTGCTGATTCATGTCTCCCAGGACTCAGGACACCGTCAACTACAAAAGTTATAAATGCATATTTGCATCCTGGCCTTTTAGAACCTGCCATAACTCTCTAATTAAGATAATCCTTAGTCCTAAATAACCACACACAGCTGCTGGGAGCAGAAGAATTCCTGATGATCACTAGAATGACCGCCTAAGGAACACTGCTTATACAGGATGCTCCAGGGCTACCCAGCCACAAATCCTATTTATCTGACAGGCTGAGAGAGTTGGAGCTGTTCAGCCTGGAGAAGAAAAGGCTTCAGGGACACCTTCCAGCAGCCTTCCAGTACTTAAAGGGGCTACAAAAGAGCTGGAGAGGGACTTTTTGCAAAGGCATGTAATGAAAGGACAAGGGGTAATGGCCTTAATCGGAAGAAGAGTGGGTTTAGATTAGATATTAGGAAGAAATTCTTTAATTGTGAGGGTGGTGTGGCACTGGAGCAGGTTGCCCAGAGATGCTGTGGATGCCCCATCCCTGGAAGTGTTCAAGGCCAAGCTGGATGGGACTTGTTCTAGT